AAGTTATTAATAAATTATAATTGGCTTAAGGGAAGAGAGAGACATAACGAGACTCAACTCGTTATAGTATTAAACGAGTTTGAGTGATTATTGTGCTGACCATTCCTGTCTATTCCCTTTACGCGCGTCGAAACGTTGCCTTTTGCGTCCCCCGCGAAGCAGCTTGGCCTTCCGGGCCCTGATCTATAAAAATTCGTCATTTTCTTCGGCAACGGAAGAGAACTCGTGACAATAGGGCCGACTAAACACAGTCAAAGCCCCTGTCTCAAATTGCTAAATAATTTTGAAAAAATAAATTAATTTATTTATGAAGTGTAGTCTACAAAAAAAAAATTTTTTTTATTATTGGTTTATTCCATTAACGTCGAACCTTATAAAAATTATTAAGTAATGATGAAAAATTATAATTTCCAATGATTTTATGAATATAGATATTATAAATAAATGTAATCAATAAAATTTTCAAACAAATATTAGTCATGTAGTGTTAAATACCCTTATCTAATTTCCAGGTAGTATGTTCCTTAATGACGTCATAGTGAACCATGGTCTGGATACGGTTAATCTTTTCGCCACGCGATTCTCTTCTGTTTTTAACTCGTCTCCTGTTTCTATCAATTTCTCTGGTACGTTTGACTCTCAGTCATTGATGCGACTGGACTTTACCATTGAGGAGGTCAAGATTGGTCTTGGTCTCATTAAGACTTCGTCTGGCGCAGACCCTGATGGCATTCCATCGTTATTCTCTATAAATTTCGTGTATAATTTGGCATAACCGCTGCTCACTATTGTTAATCTGTCTCTTCGTTCTGGTACCTTTCCTTCATTATGGAAGCAAGCTTATATTATCCCCGTTTACAAAAAACATGGTGATAAGCGCAATATTTTCAACTATCGCCCAATAGCAAAATTGAATGTGCTTTCTAAATTATTTAATCGCATCGTTTCCATTAAGCTTGCATCCTTTCTCGCCCTTATAATCAGTTCTGCCCAACATGGTTTTTTTCCCGAAAACTCAACCACTACTAATCTTGTTGAATTCAGGGAATATTAGGTCGATGCATTTGGTGATGATACCTAGGTAGATACAATCTACACTGATCTCAGCAATGCATTCGACTGCGTCAATCACCCTATACTATTATTTGAAATCGCATTCTGGTTTTTATGGTTCCATTCTTTCATGCTGTTCCTCATATCTATCTGGTCGTCAGTACTCTGTAAGGCTTCTGCAGTACACGGTCTTATTTGGTGTATCACAAGGCTCTCACCTTGGTTCGCTGTTTGCTATCATTTTCATTAATGATGCAGTTAATGTGATCAGATCCTCTAGGATCTCCTCTTATGCGGACGATGCAAAATTGTTCAAGCCTGTGTAACGTTTGATTCTAACTCGCGTTAGTCAAATAAATACTTCAGACTCTTTCTATTATAGTTGTAATCGCGTTTTCGAGAGTAGCAAGAAGTTAACACGCATATATTCTATAAGAAATGAAATTTCAAAATTCACCGAATAGCAAACATAATATTCGCTGTTTCGATAAATCGTTTTGAGTATAGTTGCATCTATCGGGGAGAAGCCCGACAGCGCCGCAACAAACACTCAATTCTATTTCTTAGCAATTAATGATTTTATAGAGAGGAGATATCTAATGCTACTTTTTCTCATAAGAGAGATAGTCTTATGAGTTGAGCGCTTAGGTATTGTAAAGAAAGGAATTAGCAGGCTAACCACTGAATAATGAAATTAGTCTCAAGAAATTGCTGAGTCTTTATTTCAAACCAATGCTCGCGCTGTTAAGCACGGTAAGATAGTGAATCCTCTTGCCGCAGCGACGAGCGAATTTATACTTGCAAAATTGGCTCCTTTCTACGTTTGGTAGCTCCTACAACGCTATTTTTGAAATTGATAGAAACTTTGTACATATTTTGTCGCAAAATGGCTCGATTGAAATTGAAATTTGATGATTTAAAAAGTTAAGTGTGAAATAACGAATTTTTTAACATAAATCGTTTCTCGAGGAAAAATCACCTTTTAAAGTTATAAGTAAATTTTGATAATCAAATAACACAAAATTTACAATAAATTTATGGAAAATTTTTACATAAAAAAATCGCTTGTGATTAGTGGAACATTGTTTAAAATAAAAACGATTAATTTAACTATCCAATTTTGAATAATAATTAAAAAACGAATTTGCAAATTTCTTTTTTAGCCATTTAAAAATCAGCAAATTGGTAACAATCATTATCATTAATTTTACAGATATATACAATCGAATCGCTATCTAACAACGCAATTTTAATTGTTTAAATAAATTATAAATTTTTTATTTATTGATAACTCAGTGAAAAATTAGATACTAAAGTCTCAAATTCTTACTTCTCTGTTTCAATACGTTACGAAAGTAATTGCATATTCGAATCAGCAATATAATTATTTGTTGCAAAATAACTAACAATATTAACTTGTAAATTAAATTAAACTATCAAATACATATTTGATGACTACAATAACATGGAATTCAAGATCAGCGCATCAAAATTAACTAAAAAATGCTTTTGTTCATTAGAAAAAACTTTGCGATTGTTGATTTTGCATTGTAAATAATAAATTTCCCACGCTCGTGACGTCACGCTCCCTATATCGTCTTGTTTTCGCTGAACTGCCCTAACACATTTACATATATGTGAGAAGAGCGCCTTCGCTCGATTACCGCTTTTCTTTAGTTTTCTCGTGCACGACGGGTTGCTATTTTGTAGTAGGAAAAGGAACAAATCAGACTGGACTGTTACACCTGTCAGTTCTCCGGCCGATGCACTGGGCTTACAATTGGACATGGAAAGATTCCGAATTTGGTGTATGTGTAACGGATTGATGTTGAATGCTGCTAAATGTGTCATTCTATCTTTTTTGCCGGTGATCGATTAGATATGATATTATTTGATACGAATTATGCCATAGTCTAATAAATTCATACGACCTTTTCAATCATATCTTTTACGTAATCTCACCTCGTTCTCTTCAGTTTCGTCATGCCACCTTCTTTATCATTTGTATTGGCACAATTAAGGCTATTGTAAAATCAAATATGTTTTTATAGTGCTAGCTTGCTTCCCATTCCTTATTCTTCCATCCTGTTTCCTTATAATTTAGTGCTTAAGGCTGTCTTTATTAGCTGCTGTTTTCTTTTTCCTTCCTTCATTTACTTTATATATTGCTGTATTTATTTATTCTTTAGTTTTTTCTTGTTATTCCTACTATTTTTTATTTTGAGTTAGTGTGTAATTTAGCTGTATTTTTATATATTTCACCTGTTATTTTTTTATATCTTTTGTTTTATACAGAGAACTGTTCCCGTTGATATCGATAAAAAAAAAGATTATGTCGAAGTCAAATTAATTTTATTAATGAAAATTAATTGAGGATTAAATATATAAATTTTGTGATAGAAAATCACGGCATAGGAGCCATTTTGTCATCGGGTTCTCGCTAAGGTTCGTATGCTATGCCAGGCTGCGAGTGTGTGCGTTAAGAACACTCCCTCATGCTTGTTTTTCATTATTGAGGTGCGGTGCTAGAACGAGCAGTGAATAGGGCGCAGTCGGCAGTAGAAAAAGAGCGCGGAGAGAAAGATAGAAGAGAGAAGAGGGAGACGGAGTGAGAGAAACAGAGATAGAGAAGAAGAAAGGAGTGGCGCGCGCACCCTCGTGCTAATCTTTCGATAGTATATGCTGAAAAATAGCATAGGCCGTTACGCGCACCATTTTTCGGCCGACTTTCCGTTGCTAGTAAAGTTTTTCCCGCACCCTTGCCGACGAGTTTTTCTTAGATTTCACTAAGATATCTAGTTCACACTAATTGTAAAGCTGTAACCTAGTAGATTGCAAACAATTGAAGTTTTAAGTGAAATGACTCATCGGAATCATGCATCACTTCTCGTAGTAAACCATAGGAAAAAAATTTCGTATTTCGTATTTTATTAAAACTACTCAAGCTATTTTCTATAGTAGTATTAGATATAAATAGGCGTTATTATAATCACCTATAAATCTGACTAAGTAAATTAGGAGACTTATCTGAAAAAAATTTCTTAAAAATTTTATAATAAAATGCTTAATACTTTTTTAATAAATTTATTATTATAATATAATAATTTTTTGCAAGTTTTTAGAAAAATAAAATAATTCAAATTTTAATGAATTATAATTATTTTATTTTATTGAAATAATTCAAGTTTTCTTTGATGAATTAAAAAGTCATTAACAAATACTAAATTAGTCTAAAATTTTAAGATAATAATTTTTAGAATACACTAAAACAACATAAATATTTTTAATCAATTTAAAATAATCGTTATTGTCTTTAAAATGCGATTAGAATGATCTGTTGACAAATATTCGGTAAGAGATTTATTACCCCCGTCTTCTAAACAGATATTTAATTTTTTGGTGTTATTACGCATGTGTTTGCTCATGGTTGAATATCTGCGCGAAAATATGGACGGAATTAGTAATCATTTATAATCGGGTTATTACTATAAGCTAGGATACAAAGGTTACCACTATTGGGTACATATGGCGAGCGTGAAATTTAAAAAAGTTATAAAGTTTATTATGTCAATATTCAGGTTTATGCACCGGTCGAGAGATATTCACCGTTTTATGCAATATAAATAATGGACTATGTTCGAAAATTATTCTGAGAGGAAGAGAGAGAGAGAGAGAGAGAGAGAGAGAGAGAGTGAAAGAAACTCACTAGCTACGAATGAAACAATCGTTAATATTGCCGGCGTAAGCAGTTAACGAATTTTTTGCAATATTATTTAATAGAATACATGACTCACTGTTAACTTCAGTAGTTCTTTAATGTATCGACTCATAGAATTACCATGCAATACTTACTTATAATATAGGCAGCAATTTTAGGCAATAAAATTATCGAATACACATATAGTTTTTAAACAAATTTTAACGATGAAATTTTTTCTATGATTCAGAATATCCACGTTTCTTTTCTTCGCACTGTACCACCTTATTCACACCAAGCAGACGTATGGGTAGAAATACTGCGATATTTTAATTATATGAAAGTTATATTCATCCACAGTTCGGATACCGATGGTAGAAGTTTACTTGGAAGATTTCAATCAACTTCTCAAATTTTCGAAGATGACATTGAGATAAAAATACAGGTAATATTATCACTTAAGTAATATATTAAATTAGAAGTAGAAACTAATATTCTTATGATTATTTTCTATCTAATAATTCCATTAGATAACAAAAGTTTATACTAGTAACGCTTGTTAATGGCAAAGAAAAGACGTAGTTGAAGAAGCTTATTATACTTATAAATTATAGACCATTTATTTCCAAGCTGGAGTAACTTCGAATTAATGTAGTGATGAAATAAAAGAAGTAAAATATTAGTAAAAATCGGGAGCCTGCGTGGAATGAGGGAATAACTACGTGAACAATAAAACAACTAATTTCAGAGCCCGAAAAAATTTCTAAAAGGAGAAAACCTAGAAATGCTATAGTATATTTTCTGAGATTTTTAAAGTGCTGAATTTGAATCTAGTTTTAGAATTAATCCATGACCTAAGATTTTCAATATATCCTAACCTAAATGTATATAATATGATTCACAATATTTTGCTATTTTTCAGGCTATACAGGGTGTCCCATTTTTAAGGAACCACCCCGAAATTTTCTACGGTTGGCAGTCGACAAAAAAATTGTTCAAACAAAAGTTATTTGGAACAATGAGGGATACCTTTCCCAGAAAATGGATTTGACCTCAACGTAGGAACGTAGAATTTCTCGCTCTTTCCGAATCCGTGATCAAAGTTAGAGGTTCCTATTCAAAAAATGGCTTTGACATTCAAATAACCTTGAAAATAAATCTCTAGGTCAAATCCGATTTCTAGGAAAGGTGTCCCTCATTGTTCCAAACAACTTTTGTCTGAACAATTTTTCTGTAGAACGCCAACCGTAAAAAATTTCGGGGCGGTTCCTTTAAAATGGGACACCCTGTATAGCACTGATAATAAATGTTTTTCTCTAAAAGAAAGTAGAGTCATGACAATGCAGCACTTTTGTCCATTAAAATTCAGTTTTTAGATAAGAGCTATCTTTTTTTTATCAAGATGTCATTGATTGAAGTTAAATATTTTAGCAGTTTCATAATAACATTAAAACAACCCAATCGCCAAGTACGTGTATATAGAATACTCCAGATAATTAAATCTCGAATATCTTAACCCCGACTCGTGTAACCTGCGAGGCTATAATCCCAGACCCTTGAATCCTAGTTGTCTTAACTCCTGAATCTTGTAACCTGTGACCATATAACTCCAGACTTCTGAACGCCAATTGCGTTAACCCGCGACCCCTGTAACATGTAATTTTAATTCTGTTGCGAAACTGTTAAAAAACATATTATTATGATATCTTAAAAAACATATTATAATGATATCTCGATAAAAAAAAGTAATCTCTAATCCAAAAAATAGGGTTTAAAGAGATAGTTTTACTGGTTTTTAGAACAAAAATTTATTCCTAGTATTCTGTAACCTCGAATAAAGTAAAATATTGATTTTTGCATATTTAGGTTAGGATATCTCGAGAACCTAAGGTGATGATCATCTGAAGCCAGATTCGGATCAGTGCATTAAATACTGTCGGAAATATACTATCATGTTTCTGTAATTTTGGATGTCGACCTATGGTGGTAGAGCTTAAATCTCGCAAAACTATCTCTGCAAAGCCCATTTTATGAGAGCCTATCTTTAGCGTTCTAACAGGTACATTTTCGGGATAGAATGATAAATCCTACTATATAGTATTGAAATGGCAGACAGTAAGCAGTAAGTATTCTAACTACTTAGATTATAAAAAGTTTTTGAAAGTATCAAATCAACGCGCACTCGTTTGTATACCAACAAAAGATATACGCACGACTTTATTCAATTCACAAAAGATGCGTGTACACAAAATAGGAGCTCGTAAAGATTATCTATGGATCTTCTAAAGTAGGGGTAGAATAGTTTGTAATGTTACATAGCTGTAATGGACCGATTATATCGACGGCAATGAACTGCTAACTGGCTCAATTGTAAAGTTATCGTAATTCTGCACGTAAACCTGCACAATAGCCATACCCGATAACATAATAGAAAGAGAGAGGGGGGGGGAGAAAAAGAGAAAAAGAGAGAGAAATCGCTGATATCGAGGCTCTGATGCTGATTACTGCGCTGCAACATGTCAAAAAAAGTGTTTTTAGTACTTTAGATGGTTCTCTCAGTGTGGCGGTATCATCTAGAACATGCCAATACTGCTTCGCAATGTTGGGGATAATCTGATGACACATTTTCGTGCCTCGTCCACCATCTTTTCTCTTTTCATATATATCTCTCTCTCTCTCTCTCTCTCTCTGTGCTTAAGGGCAAGGGCAATGAATATCTGTAAATGTGACGATAACATCTTAATCTATATTTCTGAGCTTTGGTCCAAGCCTACACATGATTTCTATATAGAGGCTTTGACCCGTAGTAAGGAATTTAATAATACTAGCTCTATAACGAGAAACTTACGAGTTTGCATAGGGAGAAGCTCTCCCTTTTTCCTATTTTATCCTTATTATTCCTATTTTATCAACTTCAACATTATCATCTTCTAGGCCTGATAATTCACAACATCAAGACCTATCTATGTATGAGTTTATTAGTGTTGGCAATGGTGTCAGCATTACTAATGTTTTTAGTATTAGGGATTGCGCTAGTAAACTTAAATTGACTGGGAACAAATAATGACGGGTACTGATCAGTAAAATTATCGCAATATAGGATCACTAAGAGTTAATCATATAAATACTAATAGATTTGATACGTTTGTTCACTTTGCACTCCTGTAAGTTAACCCTCCCTCATTAAATAAATAATTGGTGATGGATATCGATGAGCTAAGCATTTACGTATTACCGCAGATCTACGACGAGGGAAGGTCAATAAGTCTTAACAAAACGAAAAAAAAATTTTCCGTGTATAATTTTTTTTTATTTTTCAACATAATCTCCTTGAAGGTCTATACATTTTATTAAACGGCCTTCCAGTTTTTTTAAGCCATCAGAAAAATATGATTTCTAAAAACCCTCAAAATAGGCATTTGTTTCGGCGATGACTTCTTCATTCGACGTGAATCGTTGTCCGGCAAGCCATTTTTTGAGGTTCGGAAATAAGAAAAAGTCACTGGGAGCCAAATCAAAATTTTTGCCATCGAAACTGCACACGTGTGAACTCGAGCATTGTCTTGAAGAAAGAGGCATTGTTTTTTGTTCAAGTGAGGACGTTTTTCTCTAATTTTTTCTTTAAGCTGACCTAATAATGACGCATAATATTGTCCAGGGATCGTCTAGCCCTTTTACAAGTAGTCGATGTAGATAATTCCATACGCATCCCAAAAAAACGTAGCCATAGTCTTGTCAGCTGACTTTACTGTCTTTGCCTTCTTTGGGGCTGGTTCTCCTGCGGTAATCCATTGTTTGGACTGTTCTTTGGTTTCAGGAGTGAAGTGGTGTACCCATGTTTTCTCTACAGTTACGAGTCGACGCCAAAAGTCTTCCGAATTACAACGTATGCGTGCCAAAAGAGCCTTAGAGGTGACCACGCGGGTTCGTTTGTTTTCAACAGTGAGCAAACGCGGCACCCATCTTGCTGATATTTTTTTCATCTCCAATTTTTCATGCAAAATTGAAATGATTATACCCTTTGATATCCCAGTGGCCTCAACTAATTATCGCAATTTTAATCTTCTATCACTCAACACCATATCGTAAATTTTGTTAAACATTTCGGGAGGACTCACTTTTACGGGGCGTCTTGAATGAGATTCATATTTTATTGTTGTACAGCCACGTTTAACCCATTTACCCATTTATAAACAGTCTTAAACACAGGGGTAGACTTGCCATGAACGGCGTCCAACTCAACTGTGATTTCTTTTGGTGTAAGGCCTTTCAAATGAAAATGTTTTATCACCGCTCAAAACTCTGTTTTTTTCATTTTTCAAATAAACCAATAACTTTTTGTTCAACCAACGCTCACAGAAAAACGACTTAATTAATCGAGCTGAAACTTTGTACAATATCTAGTTAGTAGTATTGCTTGCCAAAAACATAATTTGAGCGTGACGAGCGCCATCTCTTGGATTTTGTAAAGACTTATTGACCCTCTCTTATAATTAACTCGATAATATCGTCACAATATCTCAAAACCATATTTAGCCTCTTTGAAAAGTACCATTATGTATTCAATAATAGCTACGTATTATGCAGTTGCGCCAAATACAAAAGTTATACTATTAGTTAGGCGTAAACTTTAGGTTACAGCTCAGATAGCTGCCCCGATGAGGTCCCGTAATCAGACGGTTTGTGATCTGAGGTAAGCAACAATCTTTCTAGCCGAAAAAATGACTATCTAAAGGATAAAGTGTATCCTCCATTAAGATAGTAAAAAAGACACCCGAAATGAATCTTGAAACTAAGTTTTCTGTAGCATTCTACATTGAAAAAGGTTAGGTTTGCCGCTAACTAGACCTTCCTAGAGCCTCCCTATATATATATATATATATATATATAAAATCGGGTTTTTTCAAATTTTATTTTTTTTCTTGGGATCTAAAAATATTATCGACACCCGGTTTCCGGCATTCATATTCCTGCAAAATGTAGTTTCACTGTGATTTTTTCCAAGATTACAGACTTATGGGACCTAAGCTAAAAAAAATGTTTAAATTCAAACTTCTCTAAAATTTAGCCATATTGAGGTACAGACACTAAATTTTCAGAAGATATTCAAAATTATCTTAGAAATCTCCTTAAATTGGTTTAAAGTTGGTTCCAGTAGTGCGCCACCTTCAAAAATGCAAAAAATCCCGTTTTGTAGTGATTTTTGGCCCTTGGCGCTCTACCAACGGCAACTTTGGTAAAACTAATGTCACCATCGTATTCTACGGGAAAAAATACATCAAAAACATTTATTGTATGATCTCTCTATTATTTTCTACTCCGCGACTAACAAGAGAATAACAATGGCGGCTACGCTAGGCATCTTAAAATGGCCTCCCGCCTTTCATAACTCGTACCTTTAAAGCTAATTACACAGGCCCACAAAAAAAAAAGTTATCTGAGTTT